TGACATTTCTCCAGGATTTCCTGGTTACTCAGGCTGCTGGAAGTTTGTTGTTGGAATTTCAATGTCCTTTGTCATTCTTACCTCTAGGGTGTAATGACTTCTGTAATGTTTGGATTTCTAAACTGTACCAGAGGCTAAATATGTAAATAAAGCTTGGGAATCTTACGCCTAAGAGTAGGAAGGAATAGGAAGCACATGTCTAAGTGGGTTTTCGTGTTTTGAGGCCTGGGCTTGTCAGCATTGAAACATTGAAAGGACAAGTAATGCAGTTGGGATCCTGTTGCTTCAGTTGCTTGTTCTTCTATCACTACTGGTTTATTACCTCCAAGGTTTTGAAATATGAGGGTCCGAAGTTCTCACAGGGACTCATCCGTTCAGATGGTGATTTTAGAAAACGGGGGTGGTGGGAAGTCCTGGGAATGTCTGAGGTATTTTTCAGCAAAAAAATAACTTTGTACTATGACTTCAAAAACCACACCAGTCTCAAGTGTTTTCAGTCACTGTGTGTGTGTGTGTATGTGTGTGTGTGTGAGAGAGAGAGATTATTTTCAGCTACAGTGTGTGTGAGTCTTTATCCTAGAGAGTCAATGCTTCTTAAGCCACATCTCTGCTGGCGCATCATGTATTTGTTTATTAACTTTCAACAGAAACAGCCATTTCCTTGCTCATTGAGTGTGCTACTGTATTATCTATTGCTGCCTGGTGAATTACCGCAGAACATTGTGACTTAAAACAACGGTAAACATTGTCTGAGACCATGTCTGTGAGTTAGGCATCTGGAAGTTGCTTAACTTGGATGGGTCTGGTCTGGTTCTGGATTGTGTCTGGGCAGCCCTCACCTGGAGGGTCCACGTCTAAGGGGGCTCAGTCACATGCCTGGCAGGTTAGTGCCAACTGCTGGCAGGAGGCCTCACTTCCATACCATATAGGCTGCTTGAATATCCTCCCAAAATGACAGCTTGCTGTACAGCTCTGCTGTAACCAGAGCAAGGGTTCTAAGAGAAGGCAAGACAGGAGCTACCTCTTTTATAATCTAGCCTCCAAAGTCACACCCTATTACTACAGTATCCTGTTCTTGACACAGGGGCACCTAGTTCACTGTGGGAGGGGACCACACAAGGGTGGAAATGCCAGCAGATGTGACTCTTTGGGGTTGTCTGGGAAGCTGGCGATCACAGCTGGTCAGCAGCTTTCTTGGTCATCATTTGTTGCTTCCTGTTCTTAACTAGCACTGTGGAATTAGAGTGGGCAATCTGTATATATAGCTTCTCGTGAAAATATACCGGAAGAATTTGAGAAATGCCAAGTGTCCGGACTGCCGGAAGTACGGTGATAGATCATAAGTTGCATCAATTTACAGTTTACTAATCTGAGAATTTGTGTTAATGTAGGAGTCATTTATAGGATTCTTCTTCAGTAACAAATTTAGAATTATTTCACTTGGGAAGGCCTTTTGAATTGGCAAGATGAGTAGGTGTAAAAGTAAAAGTTACTTCCTTCATGCCTGGCGAAAAAAGAAAAAAAAAAGGTAAAAGTTATAGATTGGCAAATATGTCTTTGATAGTTATGTAAATGGATTTATTCTGCACCTGTAAATTTCTTTCAGTTTATCTAATTATACTTTTTATTTATGTGCAGGCATTTCACAACTAGATTTTTAAATCACAGTCTTTTAAAGTTCATCATCAGGAATTCAGGGTTTTTCCCCCCCACACGAAAAAATGTTACATTGTTCTTGTGTTCTTTGAATGGAACTAGTGTTCCAAGGCTAAACCGCAGTCCTTGATATATTAGACACTATTTTTATTGTGAAAGTTAGGAGAAAGTAATACCATTGCAATTTCACTAATGTAAGAACACAAAGAATTACAATCACAAGCGGGAGATACTATCTTAAGTTGGTGCTTAAGGAAAAATTTGTATAATTTGAGAGAAGGCCTCAGAAATTTCGAGAAATTCCAAAATGGGTCTCTAGATTTCATTTTAGTACACAAAGGAATCATCCCCTATTCTCATTCTTATTGGCTTCAAGGTGTTTTTTATTTGGTTTTATTTTGGGAGGTTTAGGGTCTGTGTGTGTGTGTGTGTGTGTGTGTGTGTGTGTGTGTGTGCGTGCGCGCGCACTAACTGCAATCTCTGCCTCCTGGGTTCAAGCGATTCTCCTGCCTCAGGCTTCCGAGTAGCTGGGATTACAGGCACCTGCCACCATGCCTGACTAGTTTTTCATACTCATACTAAGTAAGAGGTGGGGTTTCACTGTGTTAACCAGGATGGTCTTGATCTCCTGACCTTGTGATCCGCCCACTCAGCCTCCCAAAGTGCTGGATTTACAGGTGTGAGCTACCGTACCCGGCCAGTTTTAGTTGTTGTTTTAATCAGCTAGGAAGTCTTAGAATGGAGAAAATAAAAGACTTATGTTACCTGGTAAGTTTAAGAAGAAGCATATATACATTGGAGACTGGAAGGGAATAAGGAAATCTGGAAAGAACAGGTTGGATTTTTTTTTTTTTTTTTTTTTTGAGACAGAGTGTCGCTCTTGTTACCCAGGCTGGAGTGCAATGGCGCGATCTCGGCTCACCGCAACCTCCGCCTCCTGGGTTCAGGCAATTCTCCTGCCTCAGCCTCCTGAGTAGCTGGGATTACAGGCACGCGCCACCATGCCCAGCTAATTTTTTGTATTTTTAGTAGAGACGGGGTTTCACCATGTTGACCAGGATGGTCTCGATCTCTCGACCTCGTGATCCACCTGCCTCAGCCTCCCAAAGTGCTGGGACTACAGGCTTGAGCCACCGCGCCCGGCCACAGGTTGGATTTTTTAATGTTTTAATTTTCGTGAAGTAGTTGTTATGATGCTTTTCCAAATGAATAATAAAGTCAACTTATAGATTGATACTTAAAAAGATCTGTATGTAGACCAGGTGTGGTGGCTCAAGTGCATGTCTGTGTGTAGACCAGCCCTTTCAGAGGTCAAGGTGGGCGGATCACCTGAAGGCAGGAGTTTGAGATCAGCCTGGCAAACATGGTAAAACTGTGTCTCTGCTAAAAATACAAAAAACTAGCCAGGCATGGTTGTGCACACCTATAGTTCCAGCTACTTGGGAGGCTGAGGCAGGAAAATTGCTTGAACCCAGGAGGCAGAGTACAGTGAGCCAAGATCACGCCGTTGGACTCTAACCAGGATGGCAAGAATGAAACTCCAGCTCAAAAAAAAAAAAAAAAGATGAAACAGAAACAGGCCAGACATTGGGAAAAAATTTCCATTTATGAGTCTTAAATCAGAAAATTGGTGAAATGCCCTTTGAAAGCTGAGTCAGTGCTTATGACTAGTTTTAGGTTATGTTTCTGAGTTTCTAAGATCCTTGCTGGATTTTTGAGTTTTAAAAAAATTTTCTTAGTCCAGTAGTACTTTAGTAGTACTTTCACATTGATACTAACTTTTATTTAAAATTTTAAATTTTCTTAACTATTGTAAGTAGATTTGGGTTCAGCTAAGTAAATAAATGAATCGGACTGCTGTGTAATGAAACCATAAGACATGGGTCCCAACTTCAGAATGCTTCCCATTTGGTTGAGGAAACAGGTCACATGTATCATGTTAAGTAATGGAGATGAAAAGTTTGCAATTAACTTTCTTATAGTGATTTCTTCTTTTGTTAATGAAATTTAAAATATATTTCCCAGAAGTAATCTTTGGAATTCAACCTAATTTTAGTGATAGTTTGTGTGCCAGATTTAATGCTGTGTCTTCCCCCAATTCCCCGTCACCCCAGCCTTCCATCCATGAGTTGAAAGTGCCCTGCAGGAAGATTCTGAAGTCCCAGGCAAATGTAATAAGGGGTAGGGAGAGGACTTATTTAGATAGATGCTGGTGAAAGTCTCAGACTCCAGATTTCTAAAACAATCGGGTTAGATGTAAGGAGGAGTCAGGGATATATTAGACGTAATATACTACTGTAACAAGAGGCGAGAAGACATTGGAACGTTATCTATAAACTGTCGAGAGGAAATGACTGCAGACCAAAAATCCTATGCATAGTCAAATCATAAATGTCAAGGGGAAAACATTTTTTTTGGAAATGCAAGGAGTACCAACTATAGACCTCAAATGCTGAAGAATATGCTTGAGGTATTCTCCCAGATTAAAGTCAAAGCATAGCATTGTTCTAAAGACAAAAGAATCAAATGAGAGTCAGAAACAGGTGCAGTTTGATAGTAAACTTGTTTGGTCTTGCAAGCACTTAGACCTATATGGACGGAGCTCATCACAGTTTCTGTTCTGCTTTTGTGTCTCTTTCAACTCACCCCAGTCTAACCCTATCCGCATCCTATACACCTTAGTTGTCATTTCGGTGGACTTCAGGAAGGAGGGGAGGTACAAGCGTGGGATGAATCTACCATCTTGATTTGGAAAATCTGTTTTTATTTATTTATTTATTTTTTGAGACGGAGTTTTCGCTCTTGTTACCCAGGCTGGAGTGCAATGGCGCGATCTCGGCTCACCGCAACCTCCGCCTCCTGGGTTGAGGCAATTCTCCTGCCTCAGCCTCCTGAGTAGCTGGGATTACAGGCACGCGCCACCATGCCCAGCTAATTTTTTGTATTTTTAGTAGAGACGGGGTTTCACCATGTTGACCAGGATGGTCTCGATCTCTCGACCTCGTGATCCACCCGTCTCGGCCTCCCAAAGTGCTGGGATTACAGGCTTGAGCCACCGCGCCCGGCCGGAAAATCAGTTTTTAAAATGCTTTGCTTCTTACCACAAAAGGTTGCTGTGAAGAGTTATTGGTTAGGGCTCATACTACAAGCAACAGAAACCAGCAATGGAGGATTTAAACAAAAAAGAAATCTATGGAAAGGATTCGGGGTGATTCCTAGGCTCTTGGGGAAGGCTGGAGAACACGGCTTGATTGGTTGGGAATCGGACAAAATTTACTTTGCAGTGACAGCACTTATCTTCATTTAGAAGTAAATTGCCTTTTTCTTTTTTTTCCCAAAAATAGGTCATATATTTGGGGAGAGCTCCAGAGGAAGCGTATAGAGTGTTAATCTTCGGAGACACAGCCTATGTTCCTTTCAGGTAAATACAAGAATGATGTGGTAGGGTCAGATAATCACATTCTTGCCAGAAATATCTTGATAGTTGTTAATGAAAAAAAGAAGATACGGTAATTAGTCTTTTTAGGGTGAGTGCAAATAACACCACGGATCTGGGTTTTCCAGCAGTGACTCTGTTGACCTTTTGTGAGGGGGGCTATCTTGTGCATTTGTAGGACATTTAGTGGCATCTTTGGCTTCTGCCCACTAGATGCTGGTAAAATCCTCACACCTACTCTAGTTGTCAAAACTCAGAATGTCTCCAGACACTGCCGTGTGTCCCTTTAAGTGCCCCTGGAGAATGGAGAGCAAAATCTACCCATGTTGAGAACCACTGCCATTGATGAAAACTAGGTATTGGCAGGGCACACTGGCTCATGCCTGTAATTCCAGCGTGCTGGGAAGCCAATGTGGGATGATTGTGTGAGCCCAGGAATTCCAGACCAGCCTCGGCAACAAAGCCAGACCCCATCTCTACAAAAAAAAATTAAAAAATTAAAAAAAAAAAAATTAGCCAGGTGTGGTTGTACATGCCTATAGTTCCAGATACTTGGGAGGCTGAGACTGGAGGATTGTTTGAGCCTAGGAGTTTGAGGGTGCAGTTAGTGAGCGGTGGTCATACCAAAGCACTCAAGCCTGGGCAATAGAAAACTTGTCTCAAAAAAAAAAAAACCCCAGAGTTTGAGACCAGCCTGACCAACATGGTGAAACCCCATCTACTAAAAATACAAAAATTAGCTGAGTGTGGTGGTGCACACCTGTAATCTCAGCTACTCAGGAGGCTGAGGCAGGAGAATCACTGGAACCCAGGAAGCAGAAGTTACAGTGAGCTGAGATCATGCCACTGCACTCCAGTCTGGGCAACAGAGCGGAGACTCTGTCTCAAACAAAAGCAAAAACAAAAACAAAAACCTAGGCCTTGTAATCAGGTGAGAATTCTGGGTTATGGTACTCAAAACTACCACTGAGGAGTGTGGTTCCTGAGAAGGTAAGAAGTTTTCCCAATAATCATTAGTTACTTTATGGGACCAAAATGAACCCCTTTTTTCTGGGGACACAGTCAGTAGAGACAGTGGGTGAGGTTGCTAATGCAGCACCACTCCCAGAAAATCCAGTCATGTCACTGTGTCCCAGAAGTGGTAGATAATGAAGTCTACGGGAATGGATGGCATCCTCATCTCAAACTTAGAATCTGATTGTGTTGAAGATACTTCAAGAAAACTGGTGCTTAAATCAAATTAAGTTCTAAAAATTTTTCTACTTGTTTATCAAAATACTTGACTTAGTTGTATAATTTAAATATTTGTATGGTGCTAATTTTACTCATTGAAGACTTTGATATCTTCAAAAATGGCTTGTTCTTCCATTCACAAATTAGTTCACTGTTTTTACAATGAATGGAGTAACTATTGCTTATTAGTTCATTGTTCAAACTAGTTTATCGTATTAGCATTGTTACATATGCCACAAATGTCTGATTTTGAATGTAACACCCTGCCTTTAAAAAAGGAAGTTTGTGAATCTGACTTCATTTTAGATGAGCTTTCAGATGGGTATTTCTAATTATTGGCAGAATCTCCTTTTCAAATAACTTTATAGCACCGCCTGTTTACTTACTCCCTGAAATAATAATTTGTCAGGGCAGTCTGAAGACTTCAGTAATACACTGCATGAAAAATTGTAAAGATCCGTGATTTAGCAAATTAGAATTGGCTAGTGTCAGGCACAGTGGCTCATGCCTGTAATCCTAGCACTTTGGGAGGTCGAGGTGGGAGGATGACCTGAGGTCAGGAGTTCGAAACCAGCCTGGCCAACATGGCAAAACCCATCTCTACTAAAAATATAAGAATTAGCCGGGCTTGAGGCAGGAGAATTGTTTGAACCCAGGAAGCAGAGGTTGCAGTGAGCCGACATCACACCACTGCACTCCAGCCTGGGTGACAGAGCGAGAATCTGTCTCCCCAAAAAAAAAAGAATCGTCTTGAACCCAGTATCATCCCTTTCTTGCGAGCTCATGGCTCATCTTAAGTATTCTTTTATTTGAGGTGGGTAGGAAGGGAAGAGGTGGAAATAAAGGTCATTTTCTAAGCTGGAAAATTATTTTTCTCAACTTAAAACAGCAACCACATTCTTCCAGTAAAAGAAATGCTTGTATTTTTGGTCTTGAGTCACGGGCACCTTGGTCATCTCTTGTAGTGACGTTTGTTCTATAGAACTCTTCTGTATAATGATAATTCTTTGTGATGCCACTCTTAACATTTACAGCACAAGATCCTGAAATAGGAATATGCTCACACATTTCACACGGTGCAAGGAAGGATCCACGGAACACTGTTGATGTGGGAAAAAAAAGAGGTTTTGAGTCGATTTAAATACAGGTGCCAAAAACGGAATAAGCATTGCTTACTGCCTTGCTGTGTTTCAAACTATTGAAGTTTGGCACTGAGAAATGAAGTTAGTTCCTTGAGGTCCCAGGAGCATCAGTCAGTAATTCTCCGAAAGACAGGACTTAGCTAGAAACCGTTCAGGTTTGTGAAATTTGAATCTCTTCAGTCATAGATACTGGGTATTTGATTTATCTAAACAGTTTCTTAAAGTGTTGCCTGTGAACTGGTGCCAGTCTATGACATTTTGTTACCAGCCAGTGATGGGATAAATACAGAAGTTGAGGGTAAGATTTTAGAAACATTTATAGTTATTGAATAGAGCTATTTTATGTCTGTAGAATCAAATAATACACATTTTGGCTTCTATTTTGTTTCCCCCCCTTTTATTTTTCTAGTAATTTATTTATTTATTTATTTATTTTTTGAGACGGAGTTTCGCTCTTGTTACCCAGGCTGGAGTGCAATGGCGCGATCTCAGCTCACCGCAACCTCCGCCTCCTGGGTTCAGGCAATTCTCCTGCCTCAGCCTCCTGAGTAGCTGGGATTACAGGCACACGCCACCATGCCCAGCTAATTTTTTGTATTTTTAGTAGAGACGGGGTTTCACCATGTTGACCACGTTGGTCTCGATCTCCTGACTTCATGATCCACCCGCCTCGGCCTCCCAAAGTTCTGGGATTACAGGCTTGAGCCACCGCGCCTGGCCTCTAGTAATTTATTAAAAAAAAATAAGATTATTGCATTATTCAGGTATGTAGTAGTACAGTACTATTGCATTTCATATTAATTGTATTTTATAAAAGTGTGAACCTATGATGGGCTCAAAATTTTTAAATTTAGTGCTTCTTCACATAGTGTTCTGTAGAACTCACCAATTAGAAAGTAGTCTAATCAGAATTAATAAAGACTGATAATATGTTGGTAGAAATGACATTATATTCTTTGTACCTTGCTGCTTTAAGTACATAGAATAAGTATAACCAACAAAGTATTGCTAACAAGACATTGCGTAAGAATGGGATTCATTTATAGTAAATAACTTCTTTTATGTTCTATAGCAATTTTTATTTAATCAGATTTAATTCAACTTAAATAGAATTTTTTTTTTTGAGACAGAGTCTTGCTTTGTTGCTGAGGCTGGAGTTCAGTGGCGCCATCTCGGCCCGCTGCCACCTCTGCCTCCCAGGTTGAAGCAATTCTCATGCCTCAGCCTCTCGAGCAGCTGGAATTACAGGCATGTGCCACTGCGCCCAGCTAATTTTTGTATTTTTAGGAGAGACAGGATTTCACTATGTTGCCCAGGCTGGTCTCAAATTCCTGGCCTCAAATGATCAGCCCACCTCAGCCTCCCAAAGTGCTGCGATTACAGGCATGAGCCACTGTGCCTGGCCTTCTTTAACTACCAAGTTTTAAAGTGTGTGTGTGTTTGTATGTGTATATGATTTCTTATTGAATTATATTAAATATTTCTCTGTATCTGGTCTGTATGAGAAAATTGTATAAAATGTAGTTTAATCTTTTGTTTTAACTATCATAGGATCATTGTTATGAACAGCACATGTATTTCTGTTCTCTGGTATAATCTATTTACAATACTCTTTGCTTCTTAGTTGTTTTTGTGTGGGGGTGGGTTGCCACTGCCTCCTGTTTTCTTGAGAGGTAGTATTATGTATTTGTTAATAGCTTGACTTGACATCAGACAGATGGAAGTTTGCTTTCATCACTGCTACTGGTATCTCTGTGGTCTTTTACAAATTTAAGCCTTGGTCTTCTAGTCAGTAAATAGGAACAATAATAAAATCTCCCTCAAGGGGTTGTGAGGATGAAGTGACATCCTGCATATAAAACACTTGGTATAGGCTGGGCATAGTGGCTTTTGCCTGTAACTCCCAAGACTTTGGAAGGCTGAGGCGGGAGGATAGCTTGAGGCCAAGAGTTGGAAGACCAGCCTAGGCAGCAGAGCAATAACTTTTCTCCTTGGGTGAGGGGAGAATTAACTGGGCATGGTGGCATGTGTCTGTAGTCCTAGCTACTTGGGAGGCTAAGGCAAGAGGATCCTTCAAGCCTACGAGGCTTCGGTGAGCTTTGATTACGCCACTGCACTCCAGCCCACAACAGAACAAGACCATGTCTCTCCTTTTTTTCTTTTTTTTTTTCTTTTTTTTGTGATAGATTCTCACTCACTGCAACCTCCGCCTCCCTAGTAGCTGGAATTACAGGTGCCTGCCACCACACCAGGCTAATTTTTTGTATTTTTAGTTAGAGACAAGGTTTTGCCATGTTGGCCAGACTGGTCTTGAACTCCCGACCTCAGATGAGCCACCACGCCCAGCCAAAGACTGTGTCTCTTAAAAAAAATAAGCACTTGATATAGTGCCTGGCTTTTAATATTTGTTAAATATTCCAACCCTCCCCCTTTTAAGTTGACTATAATTTACATACGTTTTTAAAAATCGCTGTCTTGGTAAGGTGGTGGCTGACGCCTGTAATCCCAGCACTTTGGGAAGCTGAGGCAGGCAAATCACGAGGTCAGGAGTTCTACACCACCCTGGCCAATGTGGTGAAATCCTGTCTCTACTAAAAATAGAAAAATTAGCAGGGCATGGTAGTACACACCTGTAATCCCAGCTGCTTGGGAGGCTGAGGCACGAGAATTGCTTGAACCCAGGAGGCCAAGGTTGCAGTGAACTGAGATTGTACTGTTGCACCCCAGCCTGGGTGACAACAGCTAAACTCCATCTCAAAAAAAAGAAAAAAAAAAATCACTGTCTCCTGGAAGATTCCCTCCTAACCCTTTCTAGTCTGTCATCACCCCCAGCTAACCACTGCTCTGACTTCTACCACTGTCAGTTAGTTTTGTTTGCCTTTGAAATTCATATAACTGGTATGCATTTTGGGGAGCTGGCAACTGGGTTTCACATATGTAATGTCTATGAGATGTACCTGTATTGTGGCAGGTATCAGTAGTTCATCCTTTTTTATTGCTTTTGTAGCATTCCAATCTATGAATATACTACAGTTTATTTGCCTGTGGTGGTTTTGATGGGTATTTGGGTCATTTGCAGTTTGAATATGAGCTGTTATGAAAGCTGCCAGTCTTTAAAACTAGTATTGGACATTGTTGTACAGTTTCTAAGCAGTGCCCCTTTATTGATTCCTATGTGTTTTCCGAGTTAATTTGTTAAATGACCTTGGTGACAAGGATCCCTCCCCAGTCCCCAAGGCTTATAAACCAAGCCTCAGAGATGCTGTTCTGCCTTTTGGAAGAAGACTGAATGCTTGGTGGGAAGAAGATGTGATGTGGGTGTGTCTAAAATTAGAGGTGCTAATGAAATAAACTTGAGTGAACGAAGATTCTTGTCGTATGCTCAGATTCTGTGATGTATGAGGCAGGAGGACTTAGCAGGGCCCAGATCAAAGCTTGTGAAATCATGACAGATTGGAGCGGGGCTGGGCCCCACGGTAGGTTCTCAAAAAAAAAAAAAAAAAAAGATGCATTGAAGAAATTTGCCAAAATGTCAGAGACTGAATCAACATGGATTTAACTTGATTGGAAAAGAATTATCAATAGGTTAAGAAGGTAATGGTAGTCCTTAACGGAGGAGGCATGATTAAAATCATTAAAATGGTTAAAACTTGAGGGTTTACCCCATTTCCATTGATAATTTTGATTTGGTTTAGGCTAAACTACTTCATTTTCCTGCCTTAGCTTCTCTACCCAAATGGGTTTTTTACTCCATGAACACCCTTATTTCTACCAAACCAGGATTTGTGTTGATTTATAGGTCAGTGGTTCATAAACTTGAACACACACTGCAGACACCTAGAAGAGCTATTTTTTTTTTTTTTTTTTTTTGAGATGGAGTTTTGCTCTTGTTTCCCAGGCTGGAGTGCAATGGCGCGATCTCGGCTCACCGCAACCTCCGCCTCCCGGGTCCAGGCAATTCTCCTGCCTCAGCCTCCTGAGTAGCTGGGATTACAGGCACGCACCACCATGCCCAGCTGATTTTTTGTATTTTTAGTAGAGACGGGGTTTCACCATGTTGACCAGGATGGTCTCGATCTGTTGACCTTGTGATCCACCCGCCTGGGCCTCCCAAAGTGCTGGGATTACAGGCTTGAGCCACCGCGCCCGGCTTAGAAGAGCTATTAAGACACAAATTACCTGGCACCACCCCAAGAACTTGGATTTCGTAGGTGCAGATTGGCCCTGAGAATGTGCATTTCGAATGGGTGGGGTGGTCTTGGTGCTGCTGTCCTGGGGCCACTGCTGCAAGTCATTTTGGTTTTTTTCTTTCTGAATATTGTCAATAAGGTGTTGGTAAAATTGTGGTCTTTTTGGTTAGATAAAGACCTTTTCTTGGATGCAGAAGAGAAGTTTTTCAATTCAGAACCTTACAGAACAAAAATGGCGTGTTTTAAGACCTTGTGTCAGCCAAACATGGTGGCTCATGCCTATAATCCCAGCACTTTGGGAGGCTGAGGTGGGCAAATTGCTTGAGCTCAGGATTTCGAGACCAGCCTGGGTAACATGGTGAAACCCCCAACTCTACAAAAAAATTAAAAAATTAGCCAGGCCTGGTGGTGTGCACCTGTGGTTCCAGCTACTCAGGAGGCTGAGGTGGGATGATCACTTGAACCCAGGAGGTCAAGGCTGCAGTGAGCCATGATTGCACCACTGCATTACAGCCTGGGTGACAGAGTGAGACCCTGTCTCAGAAAACAAAACAAGACCCTGCATTCTGTCCTTAGGAAAGTTCGCATAGCTCAGTAATTTTTTTTTTTTTTTTTTTTTTTTTTGAGATGGAGTTTCGCTCTTGTTACCCAGGCTGGAGTGCAATGGTGCGATCTTGGCTCACCGCAACCTCTGCCTCCTGGGTTCAGGCAATTCTCCTGCCTCAGCCTCCTGAGTAGCTGGGATTACAGGCACGCGCCACCATGCCCAGCTAATTTTTTGTATTTTTAGTGGAGACGGGGTTTCACCATGTTGACCAGGATGGTCTCTATCTCTTGACCTTGTGATCCACCTGCTTCGGCCTCCCAAAGTGCTGGGATTACAGGCTTGAGCCACCGCGCCTGGCCAGCTCAGTAATTCTAAGCAGCTTAGTCAGTAGCATTGAAGGCAATTTTAGCTGAAAAGGATGCTCTTTCCCTCATTTCTGTAGTCTCAGCCCTTAAGGTTTGGGGAAGAATTAAAAATTTTAAATGTGGTTTAATTTTTATTGTAACATTTGAGGAATGTTCATTTTCCCCTTTTAAGTTGATGGATAACTTACAGTTTTTAACAAAAACACTAATCTTAAGTGTACAGCAGTAAAGTTTTAATGTATGTATGTAACTACCACACAGTAAGAAATATTACAGTGTGAAGACCCAAATAAGGCAGGAAATTAGTGTTGGCTCTACCAGCAACCTGTTCCTCCAGGAGCAAATGAGTACCATTCAGATAGGCACAGTTTTTCTGCATCCCTGGCTTAATTGTAATTAAAATAATTTTTATGTTGCCTAATTCTGGAAAATTTCACCTTGTAATGGCTCAAGGTAGCCGAAAAGGAGAAGCAGGTAGGGGTCACAGGTAACTTATTTCTCTGGATAAAACCTTACTTGATATTAAAAGATTTGTATAGTAAGATTACTGGTTATATGTTGATGCAGTATTTGGGTGGAGTTGTCTGTAAAGTAATATAAGCATTTTCCCAAAACTAGAGTGATCCTGTGGAAGGTAGTTGATTTATTAGTTCCTATGGTTTTATTGATGTTATTGTCCTTTAATAGTCAGAAAGATGTCAAGACCTAGTGGTTTACACCTGTAATCTGAATACTTTGGGAGGCCAAGGTGAGAGGACTGCTTGAGGCCAGGAGTTTAAGACCAGCCTGGGCAACATAATGAGACTCCATCTCTCCCTTAAGAAAAAAAAAAAGTAACCAGATGCAGTGGTACATGCCTGTGGTCCCTGCTACTAGGGAGGCTGAAGTGGGAAGATCACTTAAACCCAGAAGTTTGAGGCTGCAGTGAGCTGTGATTGCACCGCTGCACCCCAACCTGGGCAACAGGACAAGACCTTATCTCTAAAAAAAAAGTTGGGAAAAAATAATAAGTTACCCAGTTAAACGGGTAAAAGTCCTAGTATATGATAGGATCAAAATGTTTGACATTCTACCAAGTAATTTTTTTTTTTTTTTTTTTTTAAAGACAGAGTTTCGCTCTTGTTGCCCAGGCTGGAGTGCAATGGCACGATCTCGGCTCACCGCAACCTCCGCCTCCTGGGTTCAGGCAATTCTCCTGCCTCAGCCTCCTGAGTAGCTGGGATTACAGGCAGGCGCCACCATGCCCAGCTACTTTTTTGTATTTTTAGTAGAGACGGGGTTTCACCATGTTGACCAGAATGGTCTCGATCTCTTGACCTCGTGATCCACCCGCCTCGGCCTCCCAAAGTGCTGGGATTACAGGCTTGAGCCACCGTGCCCAGCTCTACCAAGTATTTTAAATATGACCTTGTTTTTCAATATTTTTGTCCTTGGTTGGGGACACACACACACACACACACACACGATGGTAATTAGACACATACACACATATTTATATTACAGGATCAAAAAGCAGTACAATAACATTTTCCCAATAACATTTTCATATGGTATTTTTCAGTTTAAAGAAAAAATTCAAATGCTGTGCCCTTTTAGGGGGAGAGGTAGGTTATTACTGATTTGTTGAATTCAAGAAGGTAGTGCAGCTATTAAGGCCAAAGCTGATCCAGAATGAACATTTAAAATTTAGGAAGTGGTCTTTATTGATCCAGGCCTGTAAAACAGTACCTACTGGAATAGGTAGAAACTGCAGTGAAATTTATAATTTATTTATCTTTTATTTTAAAAAGTCAAAAGGCGAGACTTTTTTCTTTTTGAGAATGATTCTGAGTATATGTTTGATTTTAAATTCTAGTCAGCTTTGTCTTAGGTAAGTGTAATTGCAGAAAATTAACTGATCTATACTTCATTACTTTTCGGTTTCAGAGATGCTGCCTATGGAAGCTGCAATTTCTACATTACGCTTCTTGACTGTTTTCATGCAGTAAAGAAGGTAAGTAACATGTAGGGTGCACCCAGTGTTGTGTTGGGAGGACTAACATGGTCCAAGAAGACTAGGCCTTCTTCCCAAGATCTGTTTGGTAGCATTTCTTCTGAGATGTATATGGCGACAGAGGTACCCCATTTCTCAGCTAATGTTACGAGAGGTTTATTCTGAATTTCTGAGTGCTTCTCTGTATGAGTTGGGGGGAAAGTCACTTAAGAAACAGGGAAAAGAAGAGTTATGAAATTAGATTCTAGATCCAGAATTGGTTTTGAGTGTATTATGATCTAAAAGAACAAAAGTAAAGATGACTGGTTTACTGGTAAGTTCTCTTTGATTTGTGTATTCTATACACCTGATTCCCACCAATACCATTACAACAGACAGAACACGGTAACTGTCCAACATTTCATTTTTGTTTCATCAGGCATTCAATTTCTTTAATAGAATTTAAATGCCTCAATTGGTTCATTACACAGTTTTATATGAAATTAAGTAGGTCACTGCTGCTTTGTTAGACTATTTCCAAGTGATTCCTTGGGGTCTTAACCAGGGCTGCTATGTTAATTCCAGGGGACACCCTGCATGTCACATTATACCTAAACAGTGTCCCCTGGGGTTACACAGTGCAGCAAGTTCTGGTGTTAATGTGAGAACAGCACAAGAAACTAGAATGGTAAGTCAGTAGCCCATGGGTCAAATAAGCCTTTGACAGCATCTCAAGTTTTCTGTGACTTGTGCTTTTACACCCAAAAGGAACCCAGGTTTACTTTCTTGTACGATGAAACCGGGTGGCTTGCTGGGAATTGTGGCAGACATTTTATGACTTAAAATGAGAGGACTAATCAGCATACAAATTCAGAAACTAATTAGTATACTTTTTTCCTGTATCAGTCAATGAGTTGTGGGAACATAATTTGTTTGGATTTGAGCCCAGTGACTGTGGGGTATGGAGCTGATTGGGGTAGTTGTCGTGGGCTCTGAGGCAGCTCCATGGGCCTTCAGCTTTGGCAGGTACAGGGCACTAGAGGAGATCAGGATACCAACGGGCAGCAGGTTGCAGTTGCAGCCCCTGCGAGATGGGCTTAATGCAGGTAGGCACACTCACCTTTAAAAAGAGAAAAGTAAAGCTTTGAGGGGTTTGGAAATGATCTATTACGATACCATATAGCAGCAGCTTCTGTTGTTAGTTTCTGGCTTTTTGTTGTTGTTGAGTATTGTACCCAAAGTCAATTAGCTGGTATGATAGGTCAAAGATTGCCCTTTTCGTACTATATTTTGGGGTTTTTTAAATTAAATTTTTGTTTTTTCTGCAATGCTTGGCTAATTTTTGAATTTTTTTCTGGAGACAAGGTCTTACTATGTTGCCTAGGCTGGTCTCAAACTCGTGAGCTCAAGCGATCCACTCACCTTGGCCTCCCAGAGTGCTGGGATTACAGCACCACTGCACCCAGCCACTCTATTTAGTTTTATTTAAGGGTCACTAGCTTCAGATTGTCAGTGTAAACATATTTTATTTATGATTGATTTTGAATGTTGCATATACGAAGAAACATGCATCAATGTGATTATGTTTTCAGTGTGATCTACTTCCAATAAGATCAACTCTTAAAATTCAAAGGAAGGCCAGGCACGGTGGCTCAAGCCTGTAATCCCAGCACTTTGGGAGGCTGAGGTGGGTGGATCACGAGGTCAAGAGATCGAGACCATCCTGGACAACACGGTGAAACCCCATCTTACTAAAAATAGAAAAAACTAGCTGGGCATGGTGGTGCGTGCCTGTAATCCCAGCTACTCGGGAGGCTGAGGCAGGAGAATTGCCTGAACCCAGGAGGCGGAGGTTGCGGTGAGCCAAGATCGCGCCATTGCACTCCAGCCTGGGCAACAAAGAGTGAAACTCCATCTCAAAAAAACAAAACAAAACAAAACAAAACATTCAAAGGAAAATAGGAATTCCTTATAAACTAAGGAATTGTTTAGGAATTGTTAAGGGAATTTTTTGTAACTTTCATTCCATTAGGAATATCTCTAGTCCAAAATAATGAAATATATCAAATTCAAGGACATAAATTTTGATTGACTTATTCTTGGGATTACTGTTTAAATAATAAATAAAATGAAGACCTTTTTAGTTGGTATTCTAGCCTTCTTATTTTATATTTGTAGTTATTTTATATTTGTTATTTTATATTTGTAGTTCAGTACAAATATAAATTTTTTTTTGAAAACTGGTTGTGCAAAAGCCCCCTCTTTGAACCAAGAATACCTGGGGATCAGAAATTCTTGCTTCTCTGCTGTTTGGCTCAGTGATCAGCAAGCTGGGAGGACGTTTCTCAGAGGCTGCCGGCTCTGTTTGTCCTTGTCTCAGAAAATAGACACTGCTTAGTTTGCTTAGCATACTGTGCCTGCTGTAACACAGAGTGAGGCTGTAGGATAGGGCAGAAAATGTTTTGTTTTATTCCTGTGGAAATAATAAATTTTTTTCCTCAACATTTTTTATTTTAGTGTTGATGTCTGAGCTGTGTTTAGTTTAGGGAACGTTGATTCAAGACTGTTCAAAAGAATTTGAAAGTGAAGAAATGGAGGAAGTATGAGGGCTTTGTTTGGGATAAAGTAGCCCATGGATTCTCTTCTCCTTCTTAATGATGTAGGGACCATTGGGTTGTACATTATATTTGAATCCTAAACTTCTAAATGTTCAACCAGGGGTGGTGGTGATCTGGTGAGTCAGTGGGATTACTTTAAGAGCATGATTATTTATGCATGGATAGGATAATTGGTGAATGGAAATTTAAAAAGCACATCTCATAAAATCTAAGCAAAACACAACAAACTCATTAAATATAGTTATAACTAATTCTAGGTAAGAGAAGCACTTAGAAGATGCCATCCAATTCCTTTGAAAGCTATTCAGTGGAAAGTAATCTAATCATGCCAGTTCTTTCTTGGGGTGCCCCTGATACTTAGTACTCTGAAATTCAATAGGAAACTGTTTTCTTATTTGCATCCTTGTTCTTAAAAGCTTTCTTTGGATTTTAGGCAATGCAGTATGGCTTCCTTAATTTCAACTCATTTAACCTTGATGAATATGAACACTATGAAGTAAGTCTTCAAGGATCATATTTTCACCTCTTCCCCCTCACCCCCCGCCACTTTATTGAGGGGAATAATTGACAAATAAAACTTACATATGCTTAAGATATACAAAGTAATGTTTTGAAATATGTATACACCATGAAATGATTACCTAATCAAGCTTGTTAACATATTCATCACCTCACGTAATTTAGTCTTCCGGTATGTGCGTTGAGAATACCTGAGATGGCCAGGCACTGTGGCTCACACCTGTAATCCCAGCACTTTGGGAGGCCGAGACAGGTGGATCACGAGGTCAAGAGATCGTGACCGTCCTGGACAACATGGTGAAACCCCGTCTCTACTAAAAATACAAAAATTAGCTGGGCATGGTGGCGCGTGCCTGTAATCCCAGCTACTCAGGAGGCTGAGGCAGGAGAATTGCCTGAACCCAGGAGGCGGAGGTTGCGCTGAGCCGAGATCGCGCCATTGCACTCCAGCCTGGGTAACAAGAGCGAAACTCTGTCTCAAAAAAAAAAAAAAAAAAAAGAGAATACCTGAGATATACTCTGTAGATTTCAGGCACACAGTACATACATTAGATCTCCAGAACTTACTCATCCTCTGATACTTTGTATTCTGACCACAATTTCTCTGCCTGTTTTTAATTTTTCTTTTTTTAAATTAAGAGACAGAGAGACCAAGTCGCTCTGTTACCTAGGCTGAAGTGCAGTGGTGTACATGGCTCACTGTAGCCTTGAACTTCTGGGCTCAAGTGATCCTCTCTCCTCAGCCTTCCAAGTAACTGGAACCACAGGTGCATACCACCGTGCTAGCTAAGTTTTTTATCTTTATTTTTTGTAGAGACAGGGTTTAACTTTGTTGCCCAGGCTAGACTTGAGCTCCTGACCTCAAGCACTTCTGCCTTGGCCTCCCAAAGTCCTAGGATTACAGACATGTGCCACCGTGCACTGCCCTGTTTTTAGCTTTCTTATTTATTTCACTTACAGAAGAAGCAATATTCTTGTTTTGTTTTGTATGTGTATAGAGTGAAAAAAAGTCAAGTATTCATCTTTTTATCCCTATTTCTCCAGTCCCAATTCTTAGTGGGAATTTCTGTATTTAATGCACAATTCCAGAGTGAATGAGTGTGCCCCTGTGTGTTCTTTATACTGTCGAGTTTAAATGTATTTTAGTATTGTCGTACAGTGATTGAGATGTTTATCAAACCCTTAGCATAGAGTATGATGAGATGAATCGTCATTATACACCTAATTATCTCTGGAAAATATTTTCATTTTTTCCATAACCGTCTGTTTGTCAGGACCCTTCTGGTTGCAAGTTATAGAAAGTAAACACAAATCAAATAGCTTAAATAAAAAATGAAACATTTGCCAGGCACAGTGGCTCATGTCTGTAATCCTAGCACTTTGGGAGGCTGTGGCAGTCAGATTGCCTGAGCTCAAGAGTTTGAGACCAGCCTGGGCAACATGGTGAAACCCCATCTCTACTAAAATACAAAAAATTCACCAGGTGTGGTGGTGCACACTTGTAATCCCAGCTACTTGGGAGGCTGAGGCGGGAGAATTGCTTGAACCCGTGAGGCAGAGGTTGCAGCGAGCTGAGATCATGCCACTGCACTCTAGTCTGGGCAACCAACCAGAGCAAGACGCTGTCTCAGATTTTCAAAGGGGGGTGGAATTTATTAGATTACATAAATTAAAAGTCCAGGAGCAGGTTTGGCTTTTAGCATGCTCCTTCAGGTGCTCAGACACTTAACAGAAAATGGACTTGAAACTAGTTTTGTTTGTTCTCAGGCCAGCCCTCTCCAGTAGTGTTGAAGATGGCCACCAGCAGTTTTGATCTGCCATTTGGCAAAATGATCAGAAAAATGTAATCTTAGCTCCATCAGAAGGCCTGGAAATGCCTCTCACTGGCCTGACTTACACCATATGCCCATCTCTGCACTGGCCTGTGTTCTTTGGCAGGGAAGGGCTAAGGAATACTCTGGCCAGTCTTTGTTCTCTGGCTATGCCAGGAGCCTGGGGCCTGGGGTCAGCCCCATCAAACCAGTCAAACAAACAAATTTTTCTAACAGTTTTATTTTTCTTTCTTTTTTTGAGACAGGGTCTCGCTCTATTGCCCAGGCTAGAGTGCAGTGGTGCCATCTTGGCTCACTGCAGTCTCAACCTTCTGGGTTCAAGTGATCCTCTCACCTCAGCCTCCCACCAGCTGGGACTATAGGCACATGCCACCATGCCTGGCTAATTTTTTAATTTTTTAATTTTTTGTAGAGATGGGGTTTTGCCATGTTGCCCAGGTTGGTCGCAAAGTCCTGAGCTCAAGGGATCTCCCTGCCTTGGCCTCCCAAAGTGCTGGGATTATAGGTGTGAGCCACTGCCCCCAGCCACAAAATTTTTTAAAAAGGTAGGACAGGGTCAGGAAAAGATAAGCCACGCAAAACCGCAGGTGTGCTCTATGTTCCTTAACGTAGTATGTATTTTTTAAAAGAATAAATAATTTGATTCTACAGCTTCATCCTTCATATTAGGGGATGAGTAAGATGCTGTGCTAAAGGCCTTTCCAGCCCAGGGTAGTTATAGCCTCCTGTCTTCTTAGCCCTCCTATAGTTACCTTGAGCGGACTTGCTCTCCAGCACTGGAGAGGCGATTCCTCAAACAACAGCACTTCATGTGGCAGCATCTTGTGAATCCTCAGGGAACTCTTTTGCACGATGTCTAAAGTAAATATTCTTTCAAACTCAGTATAACTGAACTTTTTTTCGATTTCAGTTAATAATGACACTCAGTTATTATTGTGATGCAGCAAAGATTAAGAGCACATTGCAGGGTTCATTAGGGCAAACCCTGTCTTTACTTCTCTGATAACCGTCCGTTTCTAAAGTATAACATAAGTTTAGCATCTTAAACTTACGGAGTATAGCTAAGTTATTAACACCGTTTTTGTGCTTGTCTTTAAAACACTAAACATTTGAAACAAGTTACTTTGTGTAGGTAAGCAAAACTGCTAAAAACACTAGTTGATATTTGTTCCTTTTGTAGTGCTGTGATGCACCCCCCCCTTTTTTGGGGCGGGGGCTAGGCTTGTCCTTTTTTTTTTTTTTTTAATTAATTTATTTTACTTTAGGTGCATACTATATCTGGCATTTCTCCCCATATTTTCCGTCCCCACTCCCCACTGTCTCTCCCCTACCCCCACCAACTGCCCCCAGTGTGTGATGCTCGTCTCCCTGAATCCACGTGTTCTCATTGTTTAACACCCACCTGTGAGTGAGAACATGTGGTGTTTGACTTTCTGTTCTTGTGTCAGTTTGCTGAGAATGATGGTTTCCAGATTCATCCAAGTCCCTACAAAGGACACGAACTCATCATTTTTTTGTGGTGATGCCTTTGTGTGCTATTAATGCATAACATAGGCGCTAAGTAACTCCCCTCTGACTACTGTGGAGATTGGAGAGTCTGGGCTGGGAGAGTAGCAGGGGCACACCACAAACATTTCCACCTCCCTGAAACTACATGGTGACACAGTGAGCTGTTTACGTTCCCAAACTCCAGTTTTCTACAGTCTATATAGTGGGTTTAGAAATTTAGGATTAGTGTCTTCCATTTTATGCAGTGTGCATTTTTTCCCTGATTCAGTTTCTCCGAATTGAGGATATATCTTAATTTATGGCATCAGCAATTCAGTAAAACCTAGTTGTTGCCAACAATTGATCATGGGTTTCTTATTTAAAAGTCCACATTTCTAATTTCATGTTAAAATCAGAATATCTGGCAACAGCTGCCTTCATTCCTGTTTAAACCTTTTTTTTTTTTTTTAAGAGATAGGGTCTTACTGTGTTGCCCAGGCTAGACTCAAATTCCTGGGCTTTAGTGATGCTCCGGCCTCAGCCTCCCAAGTAGCTACAAGTGGGTGCTACCACACCCAGCTGCTTAGACATGTGTGTTATGGAACATGGGCTGATCAATTACCCTTGTCGATCATTAAGTCTGATAAACTGGTTTGAGGTTACCTTCCTGGTCCCTGTAGATAGTCAAGAAGCTCTATTACTTCTTTTTTTTTTTTTTTTTTTTTTTTCTTCTTTTTCTCTTTTTTTGAGATGGAGTCTTACTCTGTCGCCCAGGCTGGGGTGCGGTGGTGCAATCTCAGCTCTGCCTTCTGGGTTCAAAAGATTCTCCTGCTTCAGCCTCCTGAGTAGTTGGGATTACAGGCCTGCACCACCATGCCTGGCTAATCTTTTTATTTTTAGTAGAGACTGCGTTTCTCCATCTTGGTCAGGCTGGTCATGAACAAGTGAACTTATTTAATTGGTTGTCTTATTAAATAGTTAGAAAAATAGTGGAAAGATATGCCTCTATAAGTAGGTAAGTAAGTAAATAAATAATGGGAAGCCAGAAACCTAAATAGATAGTTTTTCCCCCTTTGTTCGTGGAGTCAGGATTGCTCATGTTGGAAACCAGTCATTCAGGAAAACAGAAAAGTTCTCAGATTCCTTATACTGGAAAAGTTTGCTTGCTTTCTTAATTAGCAGCAACTATAATGAGAATTGATTCAGATAAAATAACCAAGTAGTTAGTATATTTGTATGGCCGCAGTCAGTTCTGTATTCCAAGGATTGATACCCTAGCAATGAAACACTGTTAAAAGAAGGTGATTAGAACTAGGATATATATCCATTCCCTGGATATACTCATAGCAGGACAAATTTAGATTCCTGTCTCAAGACAATTTGTAAACAGCTTTTCTGCTAAAGCAAATGGATTTGAAGTCCTTCAGAGACTCAGTCTTGAGTAGAGAGGTTGTGGGGAGATCATGTTTAAAAATGAATTGTGCTGGCCTTCCCCTTGCAGAAAGCAGAAAATGGAGATTTAAATTGGATAATACCAGACCGATTTATTGCCTTCTGTGGACCTCATTCAAGATCCAGACTTGAAAGTGGTATGTGAAATTATGGCATCAATCTCATTGTGTTATTGAAAGTATCTATCCATTATTTTCTTTTGAAAGTGTTACACCAAGCTTGACCAAGTCTTTCTTATTTAAGCCTACTTGGTCATTTCAGTACATCAATCTGACTGGATTTTAACTTTCTTTTCATTTTGTTGTTTACAGTTATAATCAAATTGGAATTTAATTCGCAGTCCAGATACTGTTTCCACTCAAGTACAGGTGAAACTATTAGCTGTTGTTTTCTTTATGCGTTTTACAAGATCTGGTACCTTTCTTTACGTAGGTTACCACCAACATTCTCCCGATACTTATATTCAATATTTTAAGAATCACAATGTTACTACCATTATTCGTCTGAATAAAAGGATGTATGATGCCAAACGCTTTACGGATGCTGGCTTTGATCACCATGATCTTTTCTTTGCGGATGGCAGTACCCCTACTGATGCCATTGTCAAAGAATTTCTGGATATCTGTGAAAATGCTGAGGGTGCCATTGCAGTACATTGTAAAGGTACGTTTTTAGGGGAGGTTAGAGAAGAGTATTCATGTCTGAGTGTATGAATATGTAGAGACAGACCATATTTATTTAATGTGTCAGAACATGAAACTGTCTTTATTTTTAGAGTGCCTTTAAACCTCTAAGTGCATATGAAAAGTATAGTAAATTATTTTCATAAGTAATTCTGCAAAGACTCATCACATTGAAATGCATTTATTCATCAAATATTTATTGGGTGCATACTATATAGTTAAATTCTAGGATACATCAATGAGTAGCATAGACTGTAAGAGCCTGTCTTTATGGAGACTATATTCTTAACAAGTTGCTCTGTTTTCAGCAGTTATACAGTACCTGACACTAATAGATCTTTTTCAGTAAATGAACGACTGTACAATAATACATGGTATGTATGTAGTAGGATTTATTTAACTCTCTTCTTTTGTTAGTTAATTAAGAAACAGGGAATATAGTTTTGTCACAAAAATCCAATATTGAAAAAAAGCTCATCAAGCCCTGGGGAAAGGGGGAGACTCATCTCTAGAGTTACTGCTCTATTTGTAGTTTTAAATATAATGGCAAAACATAATGCTCACATGTTCAGTTTTTATTGATGAATCACAAGGCATACAAAGAAACAGGAAAGTCTCACCTATTCAAAGGGAAGAAATAAATCCAGGCCAGGCACAGTGGCTCACACCTGTAATCCCAGCACTTTGTCATTGAGGTGGGCAGATCAGCTGAGGTCAGGAGTTTGAGGACCAGCCTGGCCAACATGCTGAAACCCCATCAACAAAAAAATTAGCCAGTATAGTGACAGATGCCTGTAATCCCAGTTACTCGGGAGGCTTGAGACATGAGAATCACTTGAACCTTGGGAGGTGGAGGTTGCAGTGAGCCAAGATAGCACTACTGCCCTCCAGACTTGGTGACAGACAGAAGAGAAAAAAAAAAAAAAAGGCAAGAAGAAGTAGGAATCCACAGAAGCTGTCCCTGAGAAAGAACAGATTGTGTACTTAGTAGGCAAAAAATTTTAAATAACCATCTTAAAGATGCCCAGAGAGTTAAAAGAAAATGTTGGAAAAGTCAAGGAAACAATCTATGAACAAAATGCTAATATCAGTTATAAAAAGATAGAATACAAAAAGGGAACCAAAAAGATATTCTGGAAATGAAATACACCATAACTGAGATGAAAATTTCACTGGAGGGATTGAAAAGCATATTTGAGCAGGCAGAAGAATCGAGTGTGAAGCTGGAACTATTAAAAAGTTAACAAGTCTGGGAAACAGAAATAATAAAGATTATGAGAGAAATGAATAGACTCTAAGGGACCTCTGAGTCACAGCCAGGTAGACTAAGATACAGATCCTGGGAGTTCCAGAAGGAGAAGAGAAATGAAGGAGCAGACAAATGATTTGGCTGAAAACTCCCCACATTTGCTGAACAGCAAGTATATTCATATCCAATTTGCTCAACAAATATCCAAGCAGGATAAACTCAGAGGCCCATGTGAACATGCATTATAATCAGGCTGTAACGCTGGAGATAGAGTCTCATTGAAAGCAGCAGGAGAGAAGTGACTCACCGCATACAGGGGATACCACTGAGACTGTCAGCAGATGTCTCTTCAGAAACTTTCGAGGCCAGAAGGCAGCGGGTTGATATATTCAAAATGTTTAAGTGGGGAAAACCTGTTGAGAATTCTACATCTGACAAAATTCCTTCAAAAATAATGGAGAAATTAACACTTTTCCAGGCAATCAATTTGCCTTTCTGATAAAGGCAAATACATGGAGCGTTATAAAAGCTAGTATTAATTGTAACAAGATAATTTGTAAAATATTATTACTGTAACTTGCAATTATTATAACTTGCAAAGAAGAAATAGAAAATCTAAATAGACCCCTAACTAGTAAAGGATTAAGTAATCCAAAACTTGACAAAGGAAAACGTTGGACATGATAGCATCATCAATAAATTCTACAAAACACTTAAAAAGGAATTTTTAATCACTAGATGTGACCTGCAAGAAATGCTAAAGGGAGTATTTTAGGTTGAAGTGAAAGCACAGCAGACAGTAACACACAGCCATTTGAGAAGAGGAAATAAAGATTTCTGATAAAAGCAAATACATGAACCATTATAAAAGCTAGTATTATTGTAACGTTAGATAATTTGTAAAGTATTAGTACTGTAACTTGTAATTATTGTAACTTACAAATATAATATGTAAATTGTAATTTGTAATTTGTAGTTTGTAAGTATTATAAGATGTTAATTATTTTAATTTGTAAAATAGAGTATAGAGAACCAATACAGAAAATCAACAAAACCAAGGGTTGGTTCTTTAAGAAGATTAACAAAAATAATAAACCTTTAGCTAGAATGATGAAGTTAAAAAGGAAGAAGACTCCCATTATTAAAATTAGAAATGAAAATGGCATCACTACTGATACTACAGAAATAAAAGTGATCAGTACTGGGAACAATTATAGGGCAATGAATTGGAATAATCTACACGAAATGGACAAATTCCTAGAAAAACAAAACATACCAGAACTAAATCACGAAGAAATAGAAAATCTGAACAGACCCCTGACTATTAAGGAGGTTAAGTAATCCATAACCTCCAGAGATAGCAAAATCTTGGACATGATAACATCACCAGTAAATTCTATGAAACACTTAAAAGACTAAAACCAGTCCTTCTCAAACTCTTCCAAAAATTTGAAGAAAAAGGAACACTTTCTAATTCAGTAAGGCCAGCATTACCCTGATACCAAAAACAAAAACAGACACTATAAGAAAACTATAGGCCAGTATCCCTTAATGAACATCGATGCAAAAATCCTGAGGAAAATACTAGCCAATGGAATTCAGCAGCATATTTAAAAGGATTGTGTACCGATACCAAGTGGGATTTATCCCATGATTACAAGAAGAGTGGTTCAACATATGAAAATCAATCAATGTAATACACCACATTAAGGACAAAAACCACACAATCATCTCAGTGCACAAAAAGCATTTGACAAATGTCAGTACCCTTTTGTGGTAAAAACACGGTACAAATTAGGTATAAAAGGAGCGTACCTCAACATAAGAGCCATACGTGAAAAGCCCACAACAAACATCATACTCAGTGGTGAAAGACTGAAAGCTTTTTCTCTAAGCTCAGGAAGAAGACAAAGATGCTTGGCTTTGTAGCTTCCATTTAACACAGTAATGGAAGTTCTAGCCAGAGCAAGTAAGCAAAAAAAGACAAGACATTGAAATTGGACAGGAAGAAGTGAAATTATCTGTTTGCAGATGATATGACTTGTATGTATTATAGAAAATGTTGGGTCGGCTACAGTGGCTTATGCCTATAATCTTAGCACTTTGGGAGGTGGCTCACGCCTGTAATTTTGTCCATTTCATGTAATCCTAGCACCGATGCGGGTGGATTACCTGAGCTCAGGGGGTCGAGACCAGCCAGGGCAACATAGTGAAACCCCGTCTCTACTAAAATACAAAAAAAAAAAAAAAAAAAAAAAAAATTAGCCAGGCATGGCAGTGTGTGTTTGTAGTCGCAGCTACTCAGGAGGCTGAGGCAGGAGAATTGCTTAAACCTAGGAGGTGGGGGTCGCAATGAGCTGAGACTGCACCACTGCACTGTAGCCTGGGTGACAGAGCGAGACTCCACCTCCAAAATGAAAAAAAAAAGAAAACCCTGAAGATTACACATACACACCCCTCAGCCCCTGCTAGAATTAATAAATGAGTTTAGCAAAGTAGCAAGGTACAAAATCAACAGGCAAAAATCACTTGTTTCTATGCCTTCACAATGAAAATCTTATTGATAAAGAAACTAAGAACACAATTTCATTTATAGTAGCATCAAGAAGAATCAAATATTGGGTAATTAACCAAGGAGATGAAAGAATTGTATAAACATTTTTGTGAGAAATTAGATATAATTAAATGTAATGATATCACATTTGTGGATTGGGTGACTTAATATTGTTAACATGTCAGTATTGCCCAAAGAGATAAAGAGATTCAGTGCAAACCTGTGAAAATTCCAACATTTCTTGCAAAAACAGAAAAATTATTCTGAAGTTCATTTGGAATCTCAAGGGATGCCAAATGGCCAAAACAATCTTGAAAAAGAATAAAAAGGTTGAAGGACTCACTTCCTGGTTTCAAAACTTCATACAGGCTGGGCATGGTAGCTCAACACATTTAATCCCAGTACTTCAGGAGGCTGAGGCAGGAGGATTGCTTGAGCCCAGGAGTTTAAGAGCACCCTGGACAACACGACAAAACCCCATCTCTACTAAAAAATACAAAAATTAACCAGGTGTGGTGATGTGCACCCATAGTCCCAGCTACTTGGGAAGCTGAGGTGGGAGGATTTCTTGAACCTGGGAGCTCAAGGCTGCCATGCCATGTGCCACTGCACTCCAGCCTGGGCAACATAGCAAGACCCTGTCTAAAAAAAAAAAAAAAAAAGTCTTAATACAAAGCTACATCAATCAAGATACTGTGGTACTGGCATAAAGACAGATATATAGACCAGTGAAATAGAATAGAGAGTTCAGAAATAAATCCTTGTGTATATGGTCAAATGACATTCAAGAAGGGTACAGAAACCACTCAGTGGGGAAAGGACAGCCTTTTCAACAAATGGTACTGCTGGGAAAACCTGAAATCCACATGTAAAAGAATGAAATTGGATCCTTACATAACACCGTACACAAAAAGTAACTCAAAGTGAATCAAGGACCTAAATATAGGATCTAAAACTATAAAACTCTTAGAAGAAAACAGGGCAAAAACATCATGACATTAGATTTGGCAGTAATATGACATTAGATTTGGCAGTAAAGGCAATGACAATAAAAGAACAAACAAATTGGACTATAGAAAACTTTTAAACTTTTGTGCATCAAAGTATACTATCAGCAGAGAAAGAAGGTAACCCATGGATTGGGAGAAAATCTTTGCAGATCACATCTGATAAGGGA